GCTATGCCATATATCCTGTGGGCAGAGGGGTGACCACTAATGCTATTAATTTTTTAAGCTTGTTTATAGAGGTATAATTGACATATAACATTATATTAGTCTCAGGTGTACAACGTAATGATTCAATATTTATACATATTGTAAAATGATCACCACAGTAAATCTAGTTACCATGTGTCACCACACACAGTTACACAGGAAAGTTTCTCTTGTGACAGGAACTTTTAAGATCTACTCTCTCAGCAGCTTTCAAATATGCAACAGTGTTATTAATTATAGTCACCATGACTTCTTTATTTTGTAACTGCAAATCTGTACTTTCTGACACCTTCACTCATTTTGCCCGCTAGCCTCTCCCTCTAGCAACCGCCAATCTGTTCCCTGTCTCTGTGAGCTTAGGGGTTTTTCATTTATTTGTCTTTTCTATCTTAATGCTTTTCAAAGATTGAATTACAGGTGTTTCATGAACTCAGAACACTTCTGAAATTATATTTTATAGTTTATATATTCTTATAGTTAATATATTCTTAAGGTGTCTTACTAAAAGGTTAAATATAACAGATGCTCTTTCTTCCTAAAAAAAAATAACCAGAGACCTTTTAATAAAAATCTAATATAATAATTTCCAATCATCAATTTATTGAAAAACAAACACACATTTTAATTGTGTACAATATCCGCTGGAATAAAAAAAAAATCACTTCATTCAAATTCTTAATTCTCTATTCCCCCACAAATACACCTTGAAAACTTTAGTTTTTGAAACATTCAACATCCATCCATTCACTCTTCATTTGATCTAAAACATCATACAACCTGAAATAGAAACAAAAAAGACTGGGAAATCAGCTTGTTTATTCCACCTTATTGTCACACAAAAGTACAAATAATATTCAGTGCAGGTGCTAGTTACCTTAGAACTGCCTGCCAATCATGCTTGTTTATAAACTGTGATTTCAGAGCTGTCAATCATGAGTGTTGTGACAAAGATGCCACTGTAGAAATAATGCTTTAAAAGATGTACTCTTCATAAACACATTAAAAAATAAGTGGACTTCACTTATAAAATTGGACTTCAGCCCAGCTGGCGTGGGTCGGTGGTTGTGCATCAACCTGTGAACCTCAGAAGTCAGGGTTTAATTCCTGGTCAGGGCACATGCACAGGTTGCGGGCTTGATCCCCAGTAGGGGGCATGCAGGAGGCAGCCAATCAATGATTCTCTGTCAGAGTTGTTTCTATCTCTTCCTCTCTGAAATCAACAAAAATATCTTTACAAAATAAAACTGGACTTCAGGATTTTACAGAAATGTATACCATTCATGAAAAATCAAAATACAGCTTAATGAAAAGATTTAGAGAATTTGGCCCTTTAGCCAAAAGATAAGCATGGTTTAACCACAAGGATTTTATATTTCAATATTTTATATTTCTAACTGATAGTAATCAAAAGTATTATGACCATGAGTGGGAATGAGAGAATCAAACCAATCTAAATCTGGCATTTTAATTTTTAAAGCTGGCAAAAGTATCAATATAATACATTCCCTCCCCGACTTAACCAATCAATACAACCCAATTTACTATCCACTTAGTCATTTACGTCTGAAACCAAACATAATTCCTTCCACCTCATGACCCACAATCACTCAGTCACCAAGACCTGGGCCTTCTGTCCCCTAAACTGCTAACGAAAATCTCCTTTCTTGATCCTCAGGCGTAATTCATGGAATTCTCATCATGTAATAAAGCCAAGGAAGACACCTGAGTTCCCAGCAGAGCCAGCTCTCTCTCGCTAAGTATTCTGCAAACACAGCTCCCTCCCACCTCGCCACTTCTATCTCCTCCTTCACCCACCCTTTACAACTCAGTCCATGTTAGTTCCTCTGGGAAAGCTCCTGGCAAAGCTGATAGGTTCAGGGACCCCTCTTCTCCAAACCCCCACAGAAGCTGTTATATGCGTATGTTCACTCTCTGTCCCCACAACTGGACCGCCACCTCCCTGAGAGCAAGGGTGGCCTTCAATCTGTGCATCGCTAGCATTAGACACACAGGTGGCTCATTTAATACCTGCTGACTCCATGAAAAACTGCACATGACCCACTTTATTTAAAAATAAAATAAACAGCTTAATTCTTGAGACTCATAAAATGTATTATAGGTATAGTCCATGCCAACCAAAGTAATCAACACCATAAAGCAATATTTTGGACTTAATGATGTTCTTAAGAAATTTACTGATTTACTTACAAATTCACTGTAGGAATCGGTACCACCTCAAATTGGTACGACTTGCGATCCAATAATCCATGTTATTTTCACTACTGGTCCTGCTGGAGGTGTTAAGGTCTCAACCACAGTATCTGCTCATGTCCAAGACACTCAGCACCTGACTAGTGCAGCACGTTCTGTTCCGATATGTGACAAACCCTATGGAGAGCTCAGTGAACAGCCGTCAACGCAGGCAGAACTGCAGCCTCAGTCTTCAGGAAGTCAGTTATCTGGTGGCACCAAGTCGCCACAGAGCCCATGCAGAGGTTAGCTGAGGACTGCTGGAGCTGCCAAAATGCACGCTGACGTCCAAGTACACACACTCACCTACAGAACAGGCTGCAAGGCTCTTATGCAAGCACTAGTTGTTCTTATTTTTTCAGCACAACAAACTAGGGAACCAGTTTCCCAGGCATTAGAAATTAAAAGGTCTAAGCTAAAAATGCAAACACAGGGGCAGCAACAGAAAAAGAAAGATGACACCCATAGGTGAAACACAAAAACTACATAACTAGAGGTTATATAGTTAAGGAGCAGTAATTCTATATATTTGAATTATGATACAACACAGAAATTAATGTTTATTACTTTAATCCTGGTCATCAAAAACAAAGGTTATACTACTTTAGGTCTAACAATGTTCAAAGAAAGTAGATGATACCTTATAAAAAGAATCAATCTAATAATTAAAAATTAAGTATTACATCTATAAAGAGTCAACTTTCTACTCTTGTAGAATAAACTTATCATTCCCAAATAACTACAGGGTTTCTGACTCTAAGCTACTAATAATTGCCAGACATTCAAGGTATCACTATAATCATGATAAAGCATTCATTCTGAAACAAAACCTGGACCCACTGTTCATCAGCTAATTGCTGGTAACACTATCCAGCACACTACGGACACCACACCGAGGGCCCCGGTATACCATAACCATGGACACCATAACTAAGGACGCTGTAACAGGTGACCTACTGTTCGATAACAGACCATCAAGCTTCATTACCACATGCCCTCAGGGTCCCTGTATTAAACTGGTTCCTATGTGAGACTGTTTTAGGAGGTTTTTGAGATATTAAGAACTCTATATTGTAGGATTTAGAGAACAGCACTTGAGAGTGACGAGAACATTCCCGGCATTGGTTATACACAGCTCTAAGTAGGAGCCTCTGCCTTGGTAATAAGCAATTGTATGACTGGAATGCTTTATGCTCAGAGACTCATTTTCTTGATTTGGTAAATGGGAATAATAGCTTCCACTTTCTATGCTTCTTAAGGAAGAATAAATCAGATGACATACCTAAAGTCCAATGTAGATTTTAAAAAACTACATGATTATCACATGGGATAGGAAAGGGATCTTAATCCACATTAGGACAAGTTTGGGAAAGTGTATGCTATATTATTGACCCAGGAAAAACATCTAAAGAAAAGGGCAGGCAGCTACACATAATGGGCAGAGTGTTTTATATTTTTAAGTAGCAGAAGCTCTCTGACTTACAGGAGTGGTTCATGGAAAAGTAGACTGAAGTTAAAAAGTATTCTCATATGCTGCATAGACATTAACTTAGTGACTAATGCACATGTCCTACTGTGGGGCCAGGCCTTCTCCCCGAGTAGAGGCTCACTCCCTGGGGCCTGGGGCTGATCTCCCGGCACAAACAATCCTCCACTGCAGTGTCTGCAATGGCCAGAGGCAGCCATTTCAGTGTAAAACAGGGACAGAAGGACATTTGGAAAGCAATTTCTTCCAGATTTCTATGATCTAACCCCTCCAATCGTTACGGTTTATTCGTTCAAATTCAGTAACAATTTTGTTTAAAGGTAAGCACCTAAGCTGCCACCTTGCACAATTTCAAAACAACAACTAAAAGAACGGACATCATCCAAAACCGCAGGAAAGTTGGCTGAGTGGGAAATCTTCAACTAGAAAGAAGGAGAGAGGCTCACGGATCAGGGGAGCCGCAAAGCGTGAGGTAGGGAGACGCTTACGCAGAGAGGAAAGGCGCCCAGTGCCGGGCTGGCGGGAGGGGAAAGGAAGCCCCCGACTGCACTGAAGCCCAGCCCCGGCCGAAACCCCGTGGACCCAGGCTCATACGGGTGGAGTCTGGACTGCAGAGAAAGGCATCTGGAGACTCAGAGACTGGGAGACTGGGGAACTGGGAACTACAGCAGGCAGGGTCTAGAGGCACCCGCAAGTGTGCCAGCGAATGCACGCAGAGAGGTCTGACTGCGGAGGCTGCTGTGATCTCTCCATAGCGGAAGGGGTCGGAAGCTCCAGACTGCACTGAATCCCAGTTCCGACTGCCCTGAGATTAAATATATTATACAGAGACCCAACCCAATTCTGGGCGAGCCCCTGGGGCACCTACGCTCTTACAAGGGGAATCTAGACTGTCAGATGGAAGGAAACTCAGGGGACCCATGGAAGGCAGAGGTCTGAGGTGTGCGCACAAGGGCAGGGCTGATGGGAAGCCAAGACTGTCAGCTCAGCCCTGAGACTCCGCCCCATCCAAGCTAAATGTACTTTCCAACGCTTCACCAAAACTATTCCCACTGCTTTGAGAAGACATGGATCTGGCCCCAACTTGGCAAACTGGCATGATGAGAGAAATTGGCATATTTTCTGTCTTTTTTAAAACCACCAACTAAAGTTCAATAATCTACCTTTTGAAATATCTCAGCTTTATGGAATCACTATTAAAGCACTTGGAAATGACTATACTTACTCTCCATCCACTTCGGGTCTTGTACACACACAATGAAACTTGCCGCCAAAATCGATGTAAAGATCATTCTCCACAATGTGAAAGATCCGCCCAATGACGATTTTATCTTTGGCAGGTCCCATCTGAGTGAGAGGAGAATGTCTCAGCATGGACGCGAAGGATTCCACGCCTTTCGGAGAGCCCTAAATATGAAAAGAGGTATTTATGTGCATATAATTCAATATAAAATACAATATGGTGGGTATAAAATCTTACTGAGGAAATTTAAAAGTCAGTTTGCTGTATATTTCCATTTTGTAGCAATGGTAAAAGAGATTTACACAGGATTTTGCTTTAAAAAGCCAGGTATACTCTTCAACTTCACTTTTTCCTTTTATTTCGTGAAGAGGACCCAGGGTGGCCGGGTGGCCGAGTGGAACCGGGACTCTGAGCCGGGTTCGGAGGGCCATGGACAAAGCCTCCTGCCTGGGGAGGAGTGGGGTCTGAGCCTGGGAGGAGGGATCCCAGGAGGCGACAGACTTACTCCTAGTACTGACCACCTGCAAAAACATGCCTTCCAACTCAGCTTAGGGAGAGTGACTGTTCTTGTAATACAATGTTCACACATAAGATAAAAATGATTAATCCTGCAATTAGCAAGCTGAACATGAGCTCATAATGCAATATTTTTAATGGCTTGACCCTGTTATAATTTTATTCAAAGGAAATAGCTTCTTTAATTGTTTTGTGCTGTCTGTTTCTAGTTATTTCACATACTGGAGTTACTGAGGGATGACTGAACGAATAATGCAGGCTGATTACTTTTTTAAAACTTACATTTTTTCCAAACCTATTCCAGGACCTGAATTCTGGAGGCAACAAATACTTTATTTGAACATGCAGTTCCAACCTTTACACCAAGCTGCCATTCTGACCGGGGCCCAGAACAAGACAAGGCTCTGCAACAGCTCCAGCCACCAGGCAGGCCCATCTACTGCGCGGCCTTTACAACCCGGCACGAAGAGTGGGAGGGAGTGGGGGTGGGTGGGGGGTGTCTGGATGTCTGTGCCTCGTGCCACGCAGAATGGAGGCTGACAAGCCTCTCCAGGTGACTCTCGGGTGACTGAAGGACAGTGGTGAAGGCAGAGCCACACTGAGCAGTTCACGTGAATGGTCATTTTGCCTGGACAAAGACAGGGCCAAGGTATGAGTCTATGCTGATTTGTGTGAAGTGCTTCGTGATTCTGCTGGATGGTCAGGGATTTAGAAGGAACATAATTGGAAACTAGATGACAGGTGGTCTGGGAAAGACATGTAGCTACCATAGATCTCTCTTAATGGGCAGAGTGGAAGAACGAATGAGTCACATGGGAATGATTTCTCCAGCAGAGAGGAAGCTTAATAATCAGGGGACAGAATAACCAGTCCCGTGGACATCAGTCAAGCTCTTTCTCCTCCCAAATGGGTTCAAGTGCACAGTGGCCTGGCAGCAGAGCTGTGCTCCTGTGGCGGGGCCGGAGGGGAGTCTCACCGTGCCCTGGGCCACCAGACAACTAGACATTTCCCAAGGCTGCAGGACCCTGAACGTGTGGGGTGGAGGTTATGTATGGATTCAGAAACACTGCCTCATACCCACCCGGCACTGCTGAGTGACCCACCGCCACTAAGCTTCCAAAACAGCCGCACTCCCAGGAGGACCAGCCAGCCACCTGCGGGCAGGATGGTTACACAGGGCCACTCTAACTGAATATATTATCACTGGAATAGACACTTTGAACATGGATTTGCCTTTCCTGCCCACAAAGCTTCCATCAAAACCACCATCCATAAACTAAGAGAATTTCATAGTCATTGTCATGATATGCCACACAGCACTGCTTCTAACCAAAGGAATCATTTTACAAGAAATGATATAGGATAATGCGGTTGGTCTTTCCAGTGCTGGGCCTGACAGACTAGTGAAATGATTTTTTTAATTAAACTTCCTATTTGAGACCATTGTAAATACGCATGCAATGGTAAGAAATAACACATGGAGATCCCCGCATCTTGTCCCAGTTCTCCCAATGGGAACATCTTGTAAGATACAGTATAATATTACACCATAGCATTCGGACTTCATACAATTTTATCACATGGGAAGGCTCATGTATTTGCCACCACAATCCAGTTGCAGGACAGTTCTAGCGCTACATTTTGCTCTCCGTCTCCCTTCTGCCCACCCCATCCCTAATTTTCAGTAACTATTAATCTGTTCCCCATCTCTATAATTTTGTCATTTCAAGAATGTCACTCAAATGGAATCACAGGGTCCATAACCCTCTGGGACTGGCTTTTTTCACTCAGCATGATTCCCTTGAGATTCATTCAAGCTGATGTGTGAATCAGCTGCTTGTTCCTTTGTATTGCCAAGCAGTATTCCATGGCACAGATGGACCAGTTTAACCACTGATCAGCTGAAAAGATATCTGGGCTATTTCCAGTTTGGGCTATTACAAGTAAAGCTACTGTGAACATCTGTGTACAGGTTTTTATACGAACGCAAGTTTACATTTTTCTGGTATCAATATTCTCTGCCTCGGTTTGCACTTATTTTTTGTGAAAACCCAATGTCTCAACAAGGCCAAGACACCTGTTGAGCATCCTACTCTTAGATGGGGCATCTACCATTCATGCATCCTCTGCCAACTTCCAACACCAGAGTACCCAAAGCTTTACACTGCAGCAACACTGTTGAATTTTATTCCCAAATCCCTACCCTACAAACCAGGCTCCTATATTTCCCATTATTTAATCCTGATCAAAACAAACCCAAGAGTTGTAATCATGTTACAAAACTTAATGTAAATAAAAAATTTAATATGACATTTAAAAGAAAAGTCAAAATAAAACAAAGTCTACACACATTAAAAGGATAACAAGGCCCTAACCAGATTGGCTCAGTGGATAGAGTGTCGGCCTGCGGACTGAGGGGTCCCAAGTTCAATGCCAGTCAAGGGCATGTACCTTGGTTGCGGGCACACCGCCAATAGAAAGTGTACAGGAGGCAGCTGATCAGTGTTTCTCTCTGTCCCTCTCCCTTCCTCTCTATATAAAAAAAATCAATAAAATATATATATTTTTTAAAAAAGGAGAGCAAGATTTTCAAGCAAAAATTAGACTCAAGAAAGATATAAAAACAGTAAAAGCTAATGCTAATTTGAGAAGTCATAAGAGTCTGCTGCTTAGAAATAAATCATATGATCACCCACAAAACAAATATATGCAGAATGTATCAACTTTTTCTTTTAGGAAATGTACAGTATTATTTATAAACATTTTATTGATGTAAACAAAAACTTACTTTCCCTAGAGATTCATATCTACTTCAACACACTCTTTCATTATTTTTGTATTAACTGGTCATTTCTTTTAAACACGCTTTAAAAATGTTAGATTCCACTTTGAAACTAAAGATTTCAGAAGATTTTTATTACAAATTCAGAAATAATGCTCCTAGAATTCGCTAATGCAAAACCAGCAGCACTATGGTTACACACAAATATTGTTTATCATTCCGTTACATATTAGTTTTTTAAATATTGACATAATTTTTAAAGTTGTCAATATAAAATTGGTGAGAAAACAAAAGGTTAAATAAAACTTTTGCTACTACCTGAATTTAACAGACTTAAAACATATTCAAGCCGAAACCAGTTTGGCTCAGTGGATAGAGCGTCCCATGTTCAATTCCGGTCAAGGGCATGTACCTTGGTTGCGGGCACATCCCCAGTGGTGGATGTGCAGGAGGCAGCTGATCGATGTCTCTCTCTCATTGATGTTTCTAACTCTCTATCCCTCTACAGAATAGATTCTTTCTATTCTGTAAAGACTCAATAAAGTATATTTTTTTAAAATCATATATTTTTTTAAAAAGCCACATTCAAAATATAAGCATTTCCCCTCTTATATAGAAAAAAAAATTCTTTAAATAAGCTATATTTTAGCCTTTCCCAGTAAATCAGATATATATACACACATATATATATAAATATAAATATCCTGATTTAAATATTCTGGGGTCTGGGATATTCCACAATTTTGAAATAAAAAATGACAATAAAAATGTTCATGAAAAAGTGAAAAGTAGCACAAGCACAACTTGTGTGGCTCAGTGGTTGAGCATCGACCTATGAACCAAGAGGTCACAGTTCGATTCCTGATCAAGGCACATGTCCAGGTTGTGGGCTAAATCCCCAGTGTGGAGTGTGCAGGAGACAGCCAATCAATGATCAATGATTCTCTCTCATCATAGATGTTTCTATCTCTTTCTCCCTCTTCCTTTCTCTGAATTCAATTTCCAAAATAAAGGAAAAAGTAAAATATTTGCATAAAGTCTATCACTCAAATGAAACTATCAACTGTCTTGTAACATCAGTATTCCAAATAAACGAGCTAAAATAGTAAATGTTATTCTTTATCTTAAAATAATAAAATGTTCTATTGTGTGGTCTTAAAAACTCTTGCAAACCATTTTCAAGGTGCTGAAGACTAACATGCCACCCTCTACCCTTAAAAAACAGTAATACTCATAAAGCACAAAACCTATCTCTGCTCATCTACTGCCACCTTGTGGCTATAAAAAAAGTGATGAGCTCCCAACCAGCTCTAAAATCTCTACCAACAAGAAAGGTAAAGGTTTAAAAAAATTTTTTTTTTAATATATTTTTATTGATTTTTACAGAGAGGAAGGGAGAGAGATAGAGAGCTAGAAACGTTGATGAGAGAGAAACACCGACCAGCTGCCTCTTGCACACCCCCTACCGGGGATGTGCCCGCAGCCAAGGTACATGCCCTTGACCGGAATCGAACCTGGGACCTTTCAGTCCGCAGACTGATGCTCTACTACTGAGCCAAACTGGTTTCAGCTAAAAAAAAAAAATTTTTAATAAAAAAAATAAGAAAAAGGTGTCAAACTTAAAAAATAGCCCTAGCCGGTTTGGCTCAGTGAATAGAGTCGGCCTATGAACCAAAAGGGATCAGGTTCGATTCAGGTCACAGGCACATACCTTGGTTGCAGGTTCCTCCTAGGTCCAGGCCCTGTAAGGGAACTTGCAGAAGGCAACCAATCGATGCATTTCTCTCACATAGATATTTTTTCTGTCTTTCCCTCTCTTCCACTATCTCTAAAAATCAATGAAAAAAAAATATCCTTACTCCTCGT